AGTGTATTCCAATATCTGCTAGAAACTTTGACCACTAAACATTTGTCCTCTATCCAAGCCAACTATTATTCAGTGGATGAATTTTCCTACTCAAATGGCGAGATTCCAAAGCAAATTAAATTAAAGGAGAGAGCATGTATGCACTGTACCCTCTCCTGTCCTAAGTCCCAACCAGCGCGGGGCTGCAGCCCTAGCTCTTGTAACTTGTCTTTATGCAAAACTTACTAAAATGCAGTCTGTTTGATTAACTATTGTATTGGTAATAACAGGAAGAGCACCCTGTCACACTATCCCTACAACTTTGGAATGAGAATCTGTAACAGGGCATATTCTAAAAATTTATGATATTTTTGTCAATTTTCATAAATAATTTGTGTAGTTGAAAGAAATTATGTAAAACTAATTATTAAATTAAAGGAGACGAGGCGCTAATACAGGAACGGACACAGTGGCGGAGGGAGGGGGGAGTTAGTCCACCTGAAATTTGAAAATCTTTGTAAATTAGTATATGAAAAATTATATCATCGTCCCTAAAATTTAAAAATTTTATAAATTAGTATATAAAAAATTATCTGGTCCCCTTGAAAAAAAATTCTGACTCCGCCCCTGGACGGACAGGTTCGCCCTATCCTAAACGGCAGTGCAAACTCTTATTACTAGTGGTAACAAAGCAAAACATGTTTTGCAAGTCCAGTTGTAAAGTAAATTTCTGTTGAGTAATTTGCAAATGTTGAGGTCCCACATCAAGAAAATATGAGAAGTTAAAGGAATTTATAAAGGATTATTTGTTATTAACAAATAGATAAATAAAGTAAAACCCAAGATAAATTAGGCTTTACCTTTTATATATAGTCAAAGATGGGCACTTGGGCACTTGGCTTCCAAAATATTTATTTTTTATTTTCAGATTTTTAATTTAATTTATTAAATTTTAATTCGAAAAGACATGTCTGAATATTGGATAACCTTTAGAAGTCTAAAGGTATCTCTATGAAATGGTGTCTTTCTGGAAGGATACATCCCTACAAGTAGTGGTTTTCAATCAATATAAATTCCTATGCAAAGTCAAAGTTCTACATCTAGTTTTTAAGAGAGTTTGAGTTCTGTTGTATCTTGGAGGATTTTTGAATCCTTAAGGAGAGTGAAATCACGCCTCAGAACTATCTGTTTTTCTTTCTGATAATCCTTATCTTTAACAATTTCTGCTTCGGCTTTGCCTCTGTACATCTTTCATTCAAACTTTTTTGGATGGGTGTCCTTTCATTTATATGACTTTTTGTAAAGCCCATGCCATGCCATGGGATGGGATGTGTTTTACTTCCATTTCAGTTTCCCATTTTTTAATATCCAATGACCAATGTAACCAAACAAGTTGGCTAGTTCATATTGAGTATTTCAGCATTTTTAATTAGAACTTTTAAAGTTTATCTTCAATTTTAATTACCGTTTGAATTTCTCAGCTTAATTAAGCATGTGCCAGCTCATTCCGAGCTGCAGCCTGCCTTTCATCCGCACTACCATTTACTATTACTAATTAATATATAAATAGAAACGACTAAAGATAATGTTTGCCAAATATTAAGGAAATAATAATACTTGCATATATATGATCATTTGTTTTTTTGTACTAACCTTTTGGTATCCAGAAACCACATTGGATCTTAACTAATTTGGAATTGAATTGGGTCAGATCCCATATGGAGAAACTCTCCTAACACATGTTTTTCCATTCACAAGATACGAACTCGAGATCTCACTTAAAGAAAACCAAGTTCCTTCCACTTGAATCAACAGGTTGTTGGTTATATATGATGATTTGTTGAAAAGAGTCAATTTAATCTAAATTCTCAAATCTTACACGTCGCAGAGGGAGCATGAAACTAATAAACTAAACTAACAATGTCCTAAAAATTATTTATGATTTTTTTTTTCCCTTTGTGTGTGTGTGTGTGGATCTTAGAAACAGGAGAAGATGTGATTGTAGCCGTGGTAGTGGTTCACAAAGCTGATGAATCTTCTTCTCCAGTAGCATAAGATGAGATTTGCATAATCTTTCTACTTCATTTTCTATTTCTAGTTGAGAGAACCCTTAAGAAAAGTATTTTGTTTCCACCGAAGCTAAAAGTTAAAATGAAAAAGATGTCCATATCTTTGATAAACTAAAGTTATCATCTTTGATAAACTAAAGTTATCGTTTAATAGTTGTTTTGCTTCAACCTATCCTTTTGAAGATTGAGTGACGATTTAGTTATGCTTAAAAATATATTTTTCTTTCTTCATAAATCCTTTATTTAATACTTATTGACTTGGAAGGATTCATCCAATTCAAAGTTATTTATGTTTTGAAATTTCACAATCCAATTTTTCAATTTATAATTGATCCTTGGATATAAATGACAGGAATTATATTATTCCTCGAATCTTTCATTTAGAGATAAAGGATTTAATCCTTTTAAAAGAAATAAAGTTTTGATCAAAATTAGGAATAAAACCGAAGGACCCCTTACATGTCAAAAAGAGTAATAGAACCAATCACACTTTTACCACTAAACTATACCCCCTACAATGTGATTATTGCACATAATTAGACAGCCTGCATCGGACCAACCTCCTCAGTTTCCAGGGCCGATCCGAGCATCAACCACATCACCCTCTTCACCCTCACCAACGATCCCTTCATCCTTTCCACCGTGCTCTTCTTTCTGCACAGCTGGTAGCTCTCAGGAACACCTACCTCTTCTCCATCATCCTGTACTTTTGCATGAAGAAGGTTTTCATCAGCACATAAAATCCTAAATATAGGAAAGCAACAACCAAAAATCAGAAGAAAGCAAAATAATGGATCCCATCGCAATTGCATTTTCAGGCTCTAGCAGCCACTTTTAATTCAAAGTCACATTTAGAGTTGCTTTGCTGGTGATGAGTCGCAACTTGCAGGCCACAAAGAACAAATTGGATATTAGAGCTACCACTTCTGAAGGATTCAAGTCATCTGCATGAAATAATGTTTTATGTTTCTCAATCAAAGTGTTATCTAATTTTGGCTAACTTCAAGAAGAAAATGTCCCTAAAACTATCTCAGTTCTCATTAACTTAAACAAATAAAACTGCTGTTCATGTAGTTCAAACTTCAAACATGTGACCTATGGTATGTTGTCAAACAGAAGTGCCAACCATTGAAAGTTGAAACATATTGAAAAACATGATCATTTCATCAGGAAGAATAGCTCTGTTTCACAAACATAGTAGAAAATTAAAAAGTTTCACTTATACAGTATTTCAGATATTCTGATAAATGGTACCTCAAATTTCATCCTGCTCACCAATAATCCTTGCAAGAGCACAGACCATCCTGGAAATGATGGAACCTCTTAGCATCTCGCATTATGAGCTGTCTGCCAACAATCTTTGAAATGATCTTCATTGAAGTATGGCAATCACCACAGAAACGAAGATTATTGATTACTCGAATAAGTGAGCGAGCTGCAGTAGTCATGAGACCATGAACAACAGCAAGCGTTTCACTATGACCAAGAAGAGCTTCTTCCTTTCCTTCCTGGTCTATATCATGCAGTACAAATCTTGTCTCTGGAATATAACCAAATTATTTCATTTATTCCTTCAAACATCTTAGCAACGCATAGATTTTATCACTCTCAGGGTGAGATCTATCCACTGCTCGATACTCATGGACCCTGCCCTTAACTGTCAAAAGATTGTGACTAGACAACTTCTTTTTCTTTATCTCTGCAAGATCAGAGGCTTTCACTGGTATAAGACCTGCCTTTGACAGTTCACTCAAGTGAGAGGGATCTAGCTACTCAATCTGCTCAGCACAACGATCCCCTAGCTCTAAGTGTCCATGAACTTTGCAGAGATTCATCAAAGTTTCCAAAACATCAACACTGGGCTCAAATGGCATCTCTTCAATGAATTCCAAAGCTTTGTCTAGATATCCTGTACCACCCAGCATTTCAACCACACTTCCATAGTGCTCAATGGATGTGATAATACCATAATCCTTGCTCATGGATTCAAAGTGTAGCATTCCCTCATTAATATCACCCAAGATACTGCAAGCAGAAAAGACTCCAATGAACATTTGGCCATCATGTTTCAACCCTGCTTTCTTAAATTGGATAAATAAATCAAGGACATCTTCAACAAGACCATTTTGAGGAAGCCATGTTATCATGGTGTCCCAAGAAGTCAAATTGCGACTTGGCATTTTGTCAAAAACTTCAAATGCATCATTCATAGAATCACATTTTGAGTACATCTCCAAAATCTTGTTGTAGGTGCTCAACTTTAGAGGAGATAATGTTCTAAGGACATGCTCATGAATGCTTTTTGCCTCTTTTAAAGCTTTTTCCTCCCCACACACCCTCATTAACCCCAGCATTCTAGGCAAATCCACTTGAAAGACCATGCTTTTCTAACAGCTTTCTCAACATTAACCTCCTTGAAAAATCCATCTAACACCTCGAGGGAGACATCATTTGCTCTACTTTTGGGAACCTCAGGATTAGGGGTAGGTGACAATTGAGAAATCACCATCTTATTATGAATCTTATTATGACAATTGAGAAAGATCCACCATACTTAGTCTGTTCAACTAACAAATTCGAATAGGAATTTCACCTTCAATATGGTTAGCTTTCAACAAAAGAATGCTCAATGTAGAAGGTAGGCTACTGATCCAACCAGGAATTAGACCGGTAAGATCGTTCCCTGTAAGGTCCAACATCTCCAAAGAAGAGCAGCCATAGAATGCTTTTGTCAATGGCCTTGTCAGTCTATTCTTGCTCAAATTAACATGTGTTATTTGATGTGGATTGAAGCATTCTAGGATAAAGCCAGACGAGTAGTTGTTTGAGAGTCAAGAAATACAGGGATATCAAGGCCACAAAATTTTGCAAGAAAAAGACCCTCAAAATGATTTCTGGGCAAACTAGGACTAGCAGTTCTAGTATTCCTTCAAACAACCAGCTATTGGACAAGTCTAAATAGGTTTAAGAGCTTGAATGACCAAAGGAATCAGGGATACTCCCGCACAAATGATTGTTTGACAGGTTTAAAGTTTTGAACGATTTCATATCACCAAAAGAAGCAAGAATCTAATCTTGAAAGGAATATCTGGACGTGATTAAGGCTATGAGATGGGGAAAGACTAAACTCATGTTTATAGGAATATTTTCCAGTAAGCTATTTCTGGATACATCTAAGATTGCAATGTTGAAATGAGGTTGTGAAGGCAACTCCAAAGGTCTCGAAAACGAAATGGAGTTATATCTTAGGTTGAGTACTTTGAATCCTATATTATTCCTGAACAACCAAAAAATGTAAAGATAAAATAAAATATGATAATTGTATTTAAAATTTGTAAAAAAATATGAATATGATATAAAATTTTATGTAAAATTAATTCAAATACCTTAATTAATAAGTGTCAACTTATGCCTTAAAACACGTGTTAGATAAACCCATCTATATCTTCTCATCTCACTTTTCCTTTTGCTTAGAAGGAAAAACTCTGAAATTGATATGAAATGAAGTATAAGAGCTCCCCACCCAAAAAAGTATATGAGTATGGTAACAATGTTATCAGGTTTGGAAAATTTGTCTCACATTCCTGTACCCAATAAAAGAAAAAAAAAATCCAGCATCCGATCAACGAGCCCTTGCTTTTCTTCAAGTTCGTAGCAAAATAGTTCTGCAATGACTATCTCTGCTTCATCCCTTGCCCCCAGAACCTGTCCTCGCTTTCTCTCCTACGCCCCACTTCCTCTTCCTCCTCCTCAATTTTCTTTCCATTCGCTCCACCTTCCTTCAAAACGGCCTTCCACCCAATAAGAGCTCTGAGAGAGTGGCGAGAGTACGAGGAGGCAGTGAAGCGGAAGGACCTTACCAGAGCTCTCAGGTTCTTGAAATCAATTGAGAAAGACAATGATGACCCAGTTGAGGAGAAGCTCAAACATGGTTCTTTGTCTATTGAATCGCCTCGGCCCCAACTCGGAGAGCTGGGGTTTGTTGGTGGGTTAGAGAGGGATTGGGAGGTCTTGGATACTTATTTAAGTGCTAGTGATATGAGACTTGTGGGTATTGCTTATGGGTTTCTAAAGGACCGAGGGTTCTTGCCAGTGGCGGAGGCAGGGGGGTGCGAGGGGCGGCGCTCGCCCCCCCTGAAATTTGAAAAATTTATAAATTAGTATATGAAAAATTATTTAGCTCTTCTTGAACTTTGAAAATTTTAGCATCTTGCCCCCCCTGAAAAAAATTTCTTGCATCTTGCCCCCCCTGAAAAAAATTTCTGGCTCCGCCTCTGGTTCTTGCCCAATTTTGGAAGGTTCAGTGGTATAGGTATTTTTTTGTTATTAACTCCTGCTAAGGGTGTTCTTTTATATGTTTTGGTTTTGAGTTTTTTCTGTCCTCGGGTACTAATTCACAGCGAACTTGGAAAGGGAAAAATGGGTCTTTTGTCATATGTAAAGGGGTGTGCTTTGCAATTGTCACGGTAACAGCTTTCATTTCTGCTCGAATGAATAATTTTGCTTT